GGGGGTTGTATTGGCTGGTTTTGATTTATTGGGGGGGCTACACCTCCCCTGTATAATTTAGGCCCATGTGCTATTGACAATGAACTGCAGTGTTAGTATTGATGTATAGTGCCTAATTCCTAACCTAAATCAGGGAATACTTATAGACTACAATAGAAGGGCTGATTTCAAAGCAAACATACAAAACTGGCTTAGACAACATGGAACCGCAATGTGACACATTATCCACTTAATGTGAAGTAAATATTACTTTTTTTCTCAGGTGTTGGATGCCCATCCAAATTATCCGAAGATGAGGAAAGACATTCTAGACAAGGCCCGGGCCGTCTTGAGGGCCTAAAAGTGGATTTAGCGTTAAGTCCGGGAGTTTCCCTGATGTGATTTATTCAGTTCGAATCTCCTGAGTGTGCTTAAGAGTGTTTGCATAGAAAACAGTTTTTCTGCACGTGAAGAATATTTAAGGTATAAAATTCATATGTCCTGTACATATTTTAAGAGACTGTGTGTTTGACCTGTGACGCACGCTTCCCAGAGCACTGTGGATTTTTCTGAGAAGCCCTGATTGAAAATGGATGATTTGGAAGACATTTTGAAAGGATGGGATGAGATGATAACTTTTATTTGTAAATATGTCGTAACTCAAATATTTTCATTATATATATTTTTGTGTATTTCTCAGTTAAACGGTATAAAATACTTTTGAGCTGTTAAATGTTTTGTCCCTGAAATCTGGAATTAAAATGAAGTTTGTGTTGCCTTCAGTTCTCTTAGAATTGGTTCTGGTTTTATACAGATTTTCTTCCATGTTGTTTACATTCATTCAACAGTGTGCCCATTAAATTTACTTGTTAGAAAGCAGTTTAAGGCTATTTTTAATAATGCACTCACTATCCTAGTTTATTTATAAAGGTTTTCTAGAAAGGCAGCATATTTCCAGGTGGATCGTGGTTAGCACGTAGCCTCACACTCCCAGCGTTGTTGGGTGAGTTCCCACCTGCTGCTCTTTGTGCATGGCTGTGCATGTTCTCCCAGTGTTGATGTAGGTTTTTCTGGAGATCCCAGTTTCCTACCACAGTCCTAAGAGATGCTGTTGAGTGAATGGCCCACATTATGTGAGTGCGCCCAACCAGGAGGTCCACGACTTCATGCCCTGTGCCTCCGAGGATGGACAAACATTGCATGTTCCAGATACAAAATGACACGAACCTTGAGAGTTCCAGACAAATTAAATGACTTTTTTTGACTATACAAAATCAAGATCTAATTTACTTACGCATTACAAAATACATAAAACTGAGTATGATCGAGGTAGGAACCAAAAAAACATATAACCATAATGAGTATTTGGTTCCCGAGACCCTGACCAAGCGTTTAGAAGATGGATGAATAGGCAGTTTATTTTAACGGTTCTTTGATGTGTTATATAAATTTGAGCTCATCACTGTCATCAGTTACCAGAGTTACTAATAAAACTGCTAATGAGAACTCGCTCATCACTGAGCACGGAAGCTTTCAACGTGTGATATACTTGTTAAATATGAGAAATGCAATTCGAGTATATTTAGTTCGTTTTGTCCTCCATGAAATTGAGTCCAGCACGCTATGCAAACACAACTTCAAAGACTGTTATCACGGCCCCTGGAGAGGAAACGGCATAATAAAGTTAGCAAAAAAATGTTAAAATGTGGGAAAATGAGAGCGATCATCAATGGACAAAAGTCCTTCCACTTGGTTCACATACGTGCAAAATATAATGACACGCTTGGAAGTTTATATTCGCCGGGTGCAGATGGAGACGTGAGTAAGACTGGACACTTTATTACGGGTGTTTAAAAGGCTGTAGGATCACGGCAAGGTGGTGGTTATATCGGATGACCACTGTCTCCGGTCTCTTTTCCTTTCCATACCGAACCAGTAAAGTCTGCGCGGAGGTCGCCGATGATAAGCCCTGGCGTATGGTAAGCGTCATTTCGTACCCGGTACTACTGGGGCAAAAAGTTGCACTTAAAGCCATCGAGAGGCTATTTATGTTGCTTTCTTTTACGACGGAACTGGGACCCAGTGCTGCATATGTATATTGACCCTTATATACGCATTTATACATGCAGTAGTGATAGATTGATGCGATGTAACATTACAGTGCATAATGTCATGTTAGCAAAGCACGGCGTTACTCGATCCTTACACTGTGCACGGACGCCACTTTTGTACACGTTGTTCCAAAACAAGCAAAATCAGAGGGGATGTAATAAGTCAGAAAGTAATGAAATGTTTTCTTAAATCGTGTCCGATGGGAATGCGGTTTAGGAGAGGATACCGGGCTGCTTAATCAGCCACCTCTGGTTCATTTTCGGGGGTCTTTTCGCCCCAGTGGTGGCACAGTTGGTTGGTTTTTTGCGTTCCTCTGCGTTGTGTAGCCCGGCAACAGTCTCAATGAATAGCCGGCTGAACAAATCCTATTACTTAAAGAAGCGACACTACTATAGGTCTGCGGTGCCCCGCTGGGGCGACTGGTTCTAATATTCCTGCGAGCGAAATGTTACTTCGGGCGCAGGCATATTTCTCAGAGGAGATCGGGGGTAGCAGGAGCATTCCCTGGAAAGCAATCACTTTTATTTAAAAGTCGATAACAAGAAAGTTATTTCGGACCCTACGTTTAACGCAAGTCGGCGATTTATTTATTCAGTTGCGTACTTTTTCCCCGGCAGGTCATTGATTTGACTTGCAGCCGTGTTATTTTTGTAAGTTATACATCACGGAGGAACAGCCTGCGAAAGTTTTTGCAAGGAAATGGCCTGGTTTGAGATCACCGATGAGGTGCCTTAATAATTAATAATATGATTGATTCGTGTAGGCATTTCGATCCGGCAGATGCTCCGCGGCTACCCGGAGGTGAGCTCTGGTACGCGGGCGTGCCTTTCCGATCTCCTCCCTCTACCTGAAGCCAGCGCACCTGGATCCAGCGAGACGGAAGTAGGCTGTAATCACCGTGCCGATCCACGGCCGAAATGTCACAATTCCGGCTTGAATGTAGGGGATCGTGTGCGATCGATAAACTGCGTCCCCGAGCGTCTGACATGATGCCCCCCGGATTCGTCTGGACCTCGTGCTGCTTGCTGGCGTAAGTTAAGCCTAATCCGGGAAAGGAGAACAAACGTAACTGATATTAACAACTATTTTTATATTTCTGTCAATACAATGTGAGTGACTGTCACCGAACAGTGTGAACAGTGACGTGTGTCTTAGAGCTTTAGGGTGTTGTGTAACATGCAGAGGAGATTTTATAGTTCGGTACTTGAATTGAATTTATATAGGCCTACTTACATTTAATTTTTAGTTTTTTTATATATATATTGTGCTTACAGCTGGTATACTTCGATATGTTTGGTAATGCGGTTCTTTTTATGTTCAAACAAAGCTGTAAGATCCTGTATCGGGTTCTTTTTAAAGAGCCCTACTCGAATCTGTCAAACGGATATTCTGATGCACACAATTTCAGAAGCAAGTTTTCTTTGCGAAACATTAAAGCGATTCTGTGGCACACAGATACTTGTTACTCGTTTGAAGAATGCTTTCTTAAAGTCAAAGTCACTTACATGGTAACGCCGCAGCTCTGAAATCTATGAAAGGAAAATGTTTTTCTTGGGTGTGTAGCTGGTTAAATGGAAAATTATTTGTTATATGTGTTGCTCAATCACAGACATGTTCAAATTATACCAGTTACTTAAACATTACTGACCTAGTGTATCAGATACTGTGGTATGAAGGTGGTCCATAAGCTAAAAATTTGGATTGTTTGTTTTGTTTGTTTGCATATTTGTTTATTTGCCATTGTTCAAGTGATTTATTGCATATTCTATCTCTTTTTTTTCTAGGGTTAATATCAAATGATTCTGAACACTTCATCTTTGCTCAAGAGTTTCCTCCATCGATAATTAAATTTTGGACATTGTCCAGGACCATGTCTGTTCTTCGTAGATTTATGAGAAGGCGATTGTACCCATGGAAACTGGCGATTGTGGCCCTTATTTTTGTTACCTTCTTGTTCCTCCTCCAGCGTGAGGTGGTCAGTCAGGGTGCCAAAGAGGAGCCTTGGATGAGGGATTTTGTGGGCAAACGGGATGCCGTTCTGGGCATGGTGATGGGGGCGGTCAATAACTTCAGGGACGCTATGCCGAAAATGCAGATAAAAGCTCCGGTCCGCCAGTCAGAAGCAGAAGGGAAGCAAACCTGCCTGCCAGGGTTCTACACCGCTGCTGAGCTCCGGCCAGTCCTGGAGCGGCCGCCCCAAAACCCCAGCTCCCCGGGGGCTTCCGGAAAGCCCTTTCAGATGGTTGACCTCAGTCCAGCTGAGCTGGAAGAGAAGCAAAGGGGTGAAGAGAAGCACTGCTTCAACCTCTTCGCCAGCGATCGCATCTCACTCAGTCGAGACCTCGGCCCAGACACCCGACCGCCAGAGTATGTTTGCCACGGAATTCCCTTAGTTTTACTCATCGCTGCCACAATAACCCCTTTCAAAATGTACCCACATGCAGGATATTGTTATGCTGCTTCAGCCAATGATGGGATCTGATGGGTTGAGAGTCTTTTTCGAGTTGTGGAAAGTTTGGAGTATTTATTTTTGAAATAATTGTTAAATTGTGCGTTTGTTCTGAATTTTGAAGCGTTATTTCATAGTGAAAAATGCCACCATCTAGTGGTATTGATGACAAAGTGCACGTTTGCACAGGACAGGACTATTTCTGTGGCGTTTTTCTGTAGTAATTCAAAAAATTACTTTTTTAGATCAAAAGACCGCAGTTAGGAAGGAAATAACTATACAGGCCCTTTTTTTGCCTTTGTCTGCTTCACAAAAAAAATGTTAAAACCTCAAGAAGTTTTCAAACTTTTTTTTGTTTTTCTGCAGTTCCAGGAGGAAATTTCACATAAACCACAGACAGTAGAACCTTTTTGTTATTTTTTTAAAAACTTCTTTCAACATCACTGACTAAAGAAAAAGTGCTTAAAGTTTTGTTTGGCTCATCAACCAAGTCTGCTCTTGTTCCCCTTTATTTTTATAAGAGGAAATTTGCACTCCATCTGGCTTATCAAAATCTATTAAAGTTGGTGGTCCTGAATTTCAGATGTTGTCCTGGGTACTGACAACGAGGAAGCATTATGCTCTCCAGACATTTAGTGACATTTCTGCTTTGCCAGTGCCACCTTCCACGGCAGGTTACCGACTGACGCTCTATGCTGCCCCCTACAGGTGCATCGAACAGGTGTTCAAGCGTTGCCCACCCCTAATGACCACCAGCGTCATCATCGTATTCCATAACGAGGCTTGGAGCACGCTCCTGAGGACCGTGTACAGCGTGCTTCACACCTCTCCCGCCATATTCCTGAAGGAGATCATCCTGGTGGATGACGCCAGCACCGACGGTAAGGGGAGGGGGTCGGTCTCCTAGGGACCACCCTGCTCTCTGCCTGGATTTCTGGCCGCATGCGGGGAGTCCCCCCTCCCCCCTTTTGCGGACTTGTGAAAATGTGCAGCTTGTGCTCCCGGAATCTTGAAGGGTTATATTTGGGGGGGGGGGTTGAATAGTTTCCTAAGACAAACGCTCTGTGGTGGTCCTGGAGCAGAGATGAGGGGCTGTCTGCACTTTTAAGGGGGGGGGGGGTGTGTGTGCTAGAGAGGTGGGGCTGGCGTGAACGAAAGGTCGTCGGTGGCCCGTTAAGCGGGGGGACAGTCCTCGCCCTAAAATTTGGCTTTTAG